ATTTCTTATATAATTTGTATTTTTAATCTATTCTTATACAACTTCTAAATTTTTGCAAAGCAGTCTATTTGAGACATAGATTTTTAAACATTCATGTAACCTCTTCAGAAGTTTCTTGAGAGGATTGAAACTGGCCATATATTATCTATTGCTCATAAAAAAAAAAAAAAAATTCTTTGGCATATTGCAGAGGGTAAAAGTAGAGGCATTAAACCATGATACTGAGGTTCAGAATGAGCCTTTGTCTTGAATATATCATCTTTGTGCCTCCATTTCTTCATTTATAAAACAGGTATATAATTACACCTGTGTCATAGGGTTGTTTTACAAACAAGTAAATATGTATAAAATGCTGATAACAGTGCCTGGCACATAATATTAGCTGCTATCATTTATATTAGAAAAAAAGAAAGCCCTCTAAAGAAGATCTTACTATGAATGGCACCCAGAAATCCAACATCATTCTTACATAAAAAAATGTTTACATCTTAGATAAACATTTACCAATGAGATTTTCAAGCAAATGAACATCTGTGACCTAAATCAACAGAATAATTGGGAACCAGATCTATTAAAATAATAATAACGCTTTAAATAGTGAACAGAAAATTATTCTATTTTTTTTTAATTAAAGCTATGCTTTGAAATGATTCATTTTAATACTGATATACCTTAGTTAAAAATAAATAAATAAAACCATTTACAGCATTGCATGTATAATATGGCTTATAAACTATAGTTTGAATATAGACAAGGTAAGAATTACTCTGTAAGTTTTTTACGAAAGTTGTAATATACATCTATGTGTCTCCTGGGTGTTGCGTAAAATACATACACACATATATACATGAAGTCCTGGTGTGGCACTGTAGGATAAGCACAGTACCTCAAGATCTGTTTGAACTGCAAGGTTGGTGGTTCAAATTCACCAGCTGCTCCTTAGAAACTTTATTCAGGGTCTCTATGAGCCGGAACCAACTCATGGCATTTAACAACAACAGTATATTTAAGAATATATACAAGTACTTCTGGTGTTGCATCATATAGGAACAGCACTGGATGGTAAGCCAAA